AAAGATATTTTCGTATTGGAGTAGTCCTTTGGGTGAAATAAGGTGAATACATTTCATAGCACTAAAGATAGCCTTTTGCTTTAACTCACTCAATGCCACAATTTAATCAACAATTTCTGATGTGTATAAAAAGCACGCATGTTCTAATTAAGTCAGTATCCTTTCATGCTCTTACTTAAAAACTATTCATCAAAACTTATGATGCCGACTAAAATGTTATAAATGTTTGCAATAATGACGTCTAATAAGATAACTGTATAACATTTTGCTATTTTTTACCATATCCACGACTATGGCTTTCAATCTTTGCATGTATAAGCATTTTTAAATTAATCTTTGTATTATTACTAAAGGAATTTTATAAAACTTACAGACTTGAAGTAGGCTATTTTATAAATAAACTTTAAGGCAAACTCAATAAGAGTACATTTCATAAAAAACAACACTTTAAATATCATATGTTACGTCCTCATAAAATAGATTATAAATTTTAGAATTATTAATAATTAGTGCTTCTTCATGCTTACATGACGACTAGATATTCTTCTGTCCATTTCATAAGGGAACTTGTAAAAATGTTTATTCGTGCTTTTACATTTTAAGTGCACTAAGATGGATAGAATTATTGTTTTCCGCTTGCTTGAAAGAATCCTGATAGTCGTTTTATATTTAAAATGGCACAATTGAAGCGCAACATATACATTTCAACTAAATATCTGCCTATCGCAGACGTAATATATTTGAAGCATGGAAGAGAATGACTTGATTCCGAATTTTCAGCAATTCCCGATTAAGTTATTCAATTACGTAATTATGCTAAAAACGCCACGCTTATTTATGTGTCAAATGCAGAAGTCCGGTTTATACTTCTTCTTGGCCTCCAGGGCAAGGCAATTTCGCGACTCGCATGCAAGTACTAAGGCAGGTAATTCGACCAAGCAATCTGCAATTACTTAAATATACAATGGCATATGAAGGATATCATGTCATGGTAAAGTAAGGCATAGCATTACATAAAAAAGTATAGTATAATACAATAGGTTATAGTATAGAATGGTTAAGGATGTAACAATAAAATTTAATCTAATAGAGTATGATATAATGTAGGATTGTGTAGAAAATAACAACATAATGAAACATACTATATTAAAATATATAATGGCACAGCATAACATATCATATTATGGTATATTCTATTATATTTCATTGTATTTTTGTAACATATAGTGACGCATAGATTTATGTGGCATTATTCAGTATATAAAGGTATAGTAGAGATTAGTGCAGAAGTGTATATGACGGAATAGTATAGTATAATATTATATAGAATCGTAAAGAACGTCACAGTACAATATTGTGTAGAACAGTATGGTTAATACAGTATTGTGTAGAGAATAATAAATAGTAAAATAAAGTATACTATATCATATAATTGTATAGTATCGTATATTAACCTATACTATGCTATACCATATTATATAATTTCATATGATACTATATCATTGTTACTATAATTTACTATATTTTATTGGGTTATTTTAGTCTACATAATACTTTATACGATAACATGCTATAGTACACAGTTTTTTACTGCAAAATTTTTACTATTTTATAATATATTATAATATACCATACTAAGCTATAGTATACTACACTATACTCTAGTTTTTTATTGCATACTATACAATAGTATAATGTAATACAATAAAGTGAATAATGTTAGAGTAAACTATTTTGTAGTAAAGTGTGCGGATAAGTGTAACGGCAAATCATAATATATTATAGTATATAACGCTAACGTATCGCTTGGTATAATACTGTATGATTTAGCATATTATATTATTTTATAGTATATTATATCGTTGTATAGTATGGTATAACCTAGTTCAATCCAACAGCTAAGTATAGTACAGCACAGTATGATATAGTTCATACAGAATTGTATAGCACATAATAGTTTACTGTGTATTGGTGTGACATTTTAAAGGGAAGTTAACATGAAGAGTATCCTGGGCCACAGTATTTTATAACATATTATAGTATATTATTCTATATTGTAGTATGATATAATATAGTGTCGTTTTTGGTGTAGAAAGTAATGCCTAAGCTCTTAGTCTCCTGAGCTATAGTCAAGCGTCCAAGTGTCTAGGTTGCTTACTACTTTGCAAGCACGTCCTGGGTTCGAATCTCACCCTTGGCGCAGGTTGATGTGCGCTGGCAGGCTCAATCCTTCATTAAAAATCATCGTAGCCGCTCGAGCAGAGCTGTCTGTTCATTTTGACAAACCTCATATCCCACAATGGTTCTCAAATTGATATATTTAGTGTCTACTTGAAATAAACCGTTTGCCGATTCTGATTTGTCAGAATGAGGGGGAAAAAGCTAAATTTGGAAAAAAAAACTATAATGAATTCCTAAAAGGTTATTTTCTATTAATGTTTATGAATGGAGAGATGTGACAAACAGTTTAGCCTTCCTAATGCAAGAAAGGCACGATGCTGTTGTGCGCTAACTGGCCAGCCTGAATGCCGTCGTCAGAAGGAGTTGGAGCGAAGAACTATTGGGACGAGTTTCCACCGATAAAAACTATTTTTATCAACAGACCTGAGCAAGGGGATTGTTGGCAAGACGGCGCTTACAGCAGAATCGCCCACCTATTTGTCACTAAAAATAGAATGGATAAGGAAATCAAATTAATGCCACCGTCATGTCTTGTCCAAGCATTTCTTGATTCACGCTCTCCTCAATTTTAGATAGTAGATCTTTCAGACTCTACAATTCGAGCAGATTACGAGATGAAAAGTAACCCTGTAACCAAGGGATATCTCCCCACCCCGGCTTGGCCCTGTTTTCCGGCTCATACTAGTCTCCGCAGCATCATAAATAGTGTGTGAAAGCAATAAATGCGGGTTCATACCAAGGCTCTATAGCAATTATTAGTGTTTCTCAAAGATCCGATTGAATAATTATATAAATATGAATAAATAAATAAATAAATGTATGTATTTATGTATGTTTGCTTGTAGGTGTGTGTTTATGTATTTATGTATTTATGAATATAGGATAGGTTTTAAGGAATCCCTGTAGTGATTCCGGTTGAAAAGGCATTTCATCTTAAAATAAATGTTTGCGGTACATAAGTGTTAAAATGATGCCAGCGAAAACCGAAGGAATAAAGACTGTTGGGGAGTATGACGTCACCGGACGATGAGCCGACAACGTCTGAATCTCAAGCTGAGACCAAGTAAGGAATTAATTCCTACCAAATTTTCTATTCTAAATGAAAATTCTAGTCATATTAAAGAGCTAAAAGGTACAAGAGGATCACATTTCCCAAATATTTCTAAACTCCGAAACAATCAGAGAGATGGAAGTCCGTTGACCTTACACCAGAAGATGTCAGCAGGTTCGTCCTGGCCTGCCGTTGCGGAGGGGTTCAGGCTTACATGGTCCTTGGTCTCCGGTGGAAATGTGCTCAGCTTTGGTATTTCATGCAGTTTGATGCACATCCCATTTGAGCTGTATGTCATTCCAAACGTGTAGCAATCAACTTTTGTTATGATATCTACAATCGGCGACTCATCGACAGGGCGATTAGGTGACTGTGTGAGTAGATGTGTGAATCGCAAGCCTGTCAGGCTAGAGGCGGTGGGAATATACATCAAATAGACAAATCACATGTTTTCGCTTTATTGCCCATTGTTCATAGTCCCATTTTCCACCCTTTCTCTTCCACGCCGACAGTAGCTAAATG